GCAAATGTTTAGTGGTGCATTTCTGGCAGGAACATGTACATTTTGAATAGTTTATCGACAGGGTCTTTAACTACAGTGCTCGACAAAGTAAGTTTGTCCTCCAGAAGAATAGTTACTTTAAGGGTTATCTAGGTGTCTTACTTAGATATCATCAGGAAGGAGATCATTCTTTGTGATAACTGTCTATTGCTTGAATTTTAACCGCTTAACTTCACAAATATTGTCTAATTAGTGAGAATTACTGAAAAATCAACTTGTCTACTACCAGCCACCTTCAAGCAAATCATGGCATGACAATATCATGGCATCTGCAAAGTAACCGACATCTGATAGAGGTTGATCAATTTGACCCAGAATAGCAACCGTGAATTAAAAGCATCAATTATATACACTACTTTAATGTTATTAATTTATTTATCCATCAAAAAAACTGTGTAATAAACAAGATAAATCCTGTTCCTATTCCAGCTATACAAAGTTTATTGAAGTAACTAATGATGACTTTGAAACCAATTAACCTCATCCTAGTTCGGAAACCTGCAGTTTGTACTTACCTTACAAAAATAATTTATCACATCGAAAACTTTGTTAATTGACTGGTTTTTCACTTCATTTACTTTAATTTGTATTCTTTTACAGTGAGATTTAAATGTTTTAGTTTCCTTTATCCATACAAATTCATAAATCACTAGGATAATTTGATAGAAAGTAGAAGATAACATTTTAAAGCTTTTTCACAGAAGACCAATTTGTTTTATGGTGATATTTTTGAAAGCTAATAGAAAACTAAGATATTTCACCTTGAAGAGCAAAACCAAGCGGAAATTCTGTGTTCTACAGGTGGGTAACACTGAAAAGACTACTACGTTATGGCTATTTTAGCAACCAGCAAAGGAATTCAAGACACACGGTTTGTTCTATTCGGGACTCGTCAACTGGGTGTACCTGCACCCCAGTGCTTACATTAAGAGTCTAACCCAGTACATGTCGCTTCAAACGTCAGAGCGTTATGCACCAAGTCACTGAAGTGCGAGAGACATAACTTATGCGACAGATATAAGCTGTTGTTTTATTGATACTCGAGATTTCCCGTTACTATACAAGGTTGAATTGTTCGACTTCTGTTGGCAGATGGGCTCATATGCAGACTCTCAGTATAGCAATGGGAGCTTACGAATATCAAATTACAACTAAGACCCTTGCATAAGAGACAGTTCTCGCGCCTTGGTGTTCTAGTGGGTAAAGCCTTGGCGTTTGAAGTAATGAGCACTGAGTTCGATTCCCAGTGGATACAATACCACTCACTGGGTGCAGATGCATCCAGCTGACGAGTTCAAAATAGGATGGAAGGTACATTCTAGATTCTACTGATAGTCACCAAGATTTATAAAACACCATAAATATCCAGCAGTATCGAGATATGCATATGGGAGCGTGTCCGTCAACAGAGGTTGAGCAACTTGGCTCTGTATAGCAACAGGGGGTTAAAAGTACCAAACAAAGACTGCAATGTTAGGCTAATGAGTATATATATTGCTAACAAGTATCAAAAACTATGCTACCGGAAAAAAGACTGATTATATACTACACTGCATCACATGCAACAATCTCTTTTTTCACTGAAAAAAGCTCCACCTCGCCTTTCACTACAGCGGTATACCTCAGCATTCATGGGAAAGAAAAAGGTTTCAGTGGTTACCAGTCAAACTAAGTAAACGATAATAATATCTTATCCTAGTTAACGTTTCTCAGCATCAGACGGTGGTTTGCAAACTCAGTGACCCACTGACCTGTGAGTTAATATCAGAGATATATAGAATGAAACTGACTGAAAAAATCTGGTATTTTGCAGGAGTGATAACTAAAAATAAAGGCCGAAAGGTAACAAGATTCAATCCAGTTGTAGGAGAATAACTATTTCAGTAGTTTACTACCTGAATTTCTTGTTAAAAAAGAAACATATATCTTAATAATATTACCATTCTTATATGATATGTGTGAATGTAAGGATGATAGAATGTCTGAAATATTCTTATTTCTTTGCATTATTTGATATTAAAAAGAAGCAGGGTGATCATTCGATGTGTTAAAAAAATTATTCCTTTATCAGTTATCTGAGACTATCTCAAGAGCATGTTTCTTGAGGTCTGCAGTCAAGTATCATTACTAATTATTAGATTCAGTTTTCAGATATTTAAAAAAAATGTAACCGCCGACCGAAAACTATCAAGCGCACTTATAACTCTCTCAGCACTTAAGTTCACAACATTGCATTTTAACCTTTCCTCACTTCTCTTGGTGAATACACACTGGTTACGTTTAGCTGCTTCCAGCTATACAGACCTTCATTGCAATTTGATTTAACGACACAGCATGCTTGATCTGCTGGAAACACGATCGAAACAACACATTGGAACTTTTAATTTCCGTACTCTATGTCAAGCCGGACAAAAGACTTCGCTGGCCAGAACCTTTGTATCTCGAACCTCAGAAGCGAATTGCGTTTGCGAGACATACGTACAGGACTTATCTGTGGTTATTCACACAACCAATATGGTTAATCCACAATATTCACTCTTGGGGGTTTTGGAGGTTCAATTTCTAGGTCTTGTGGTCTCGTAGGAATAGTTATAACACTAAATCTGAAGTCACACAATATACTTCTTGACCCCGTTCTATTTTATAGTCACCGATACACTCTTTGACTGAACGGTGCGGTTAGGAACGAAAGTAATAACGAAACTGGGTACTGCCAAATGATTTCAGTGTGTTCCTAACATAGACCATGTGACTTGGTTTAACGACATCAGTAATGAAGAAGTCAAATGTAGACTTTTTGGTGGAAGGTGGAAACCAAACAATGAGGTCGTAAACCTTCTGCTTTGTCGCGCAATGTTAGCTGACTAAAAACTGGCATCCATCCATGAAGTCCTTAACTGTTGTTGTGAGCCGTGTAAAGGAATTTAAACTTCCAGAATTTACACTAAATGATCCATTCGTTTTGAAATATGTGATTTGGTTTGGAAGCTTCACAACTGTCTTAAGCAACTACGACTCTATATTCTTGTAGAACCTGGAATTCAAATCAGAATGAAGCTTGAGGTCCTAAATAAGACGATATGACTGAGGTACTGGTTTAATGTTATTGGTTTCACCATTTCTGTCTGCACAGCAACCGCCAAAGAAGAGACAGCTTGTTGCTTGCCCCGCTTGGATATAACTGGTGTTTGCTGTTTTAAAGTGTTCGAAAGGTTTCTTAGAGAAATATTTGAGTAATGGTACTTATCATATGACTACTGTTGTTTCAGCTTCTGAAGGAAACTCAATATTTTTTTCTATTTCAGAGAAATGTCTGTAAGATATCAACACTTTTATCACACAGACATCATAGCTAAACAGATGAAAAGTGAGAAATAATCTGTCATGTGAAACTATGTGGCGTTTTAAACAATGGTTGACTCTGGTTAGGTTTTGAAAGATGCTTCTCTAAAAAAACTCATACAGATTATTTCTTCGATTGAAATTATTGATAGGAATATCATAGGTGACAGTAAACAATTTCCTTGGTTAAATTCTTAGGTACTATTATTTTCAACTTAGCATTTTTTCTACGTTATGTTACCAGTAAGCCATTGGTTGTCAAAGAAGAAGGTAACTTTTGAATAAAACTTAATTATAACCCGGAGATGTATGTCAAACCAACTTCGTGTGTTGCTTTTCCCTTTAACTGTATACAATCCTGTGTATGGTTCCTATCTGTATGAGTGAAGTGATTGTCAGTAATATAGTTTCCATGCTGATTGCTAATAATGACATTTCATTTTAAGGAATAGTGCTTTGTTTCCTAGTCTTATCCGCTATCGCTTACTAGGATTGAGATGAGAAGATTATGATCAAATGGGTAAACTTTTCAGCTGTATTGCATCCTGTGGATTAAATGAACTAAATACGTTGCTATGGCTTTACAAATCGGATCATGTGAGTTTTTTCACTGATTTTTTGGGCAGAATGTGCTGAAGATCCTTGATTTGATTAGTTCTTTTCATCAGTTATTTTATTTCTCCTTTTAGGTATACTTCAACTACCTGGCTTGGTATTTTGACTTTAATTCTAGCTGCAGTTATACTTTTCTTCAGTGACTATATGTTTGAACTCATTGACTATTGACCTTTTGATATCAGGCTTCTGGGAATTCACTGATATTTTTCAGATTTTTCCTGCTGTAGAAATTAAATCACTTCGGCAGAATTTTGACCTTGGTTGTGCATATTTTTGTCACAAGAAAAGAAATCCCCGAGAGTTTAACTACAGACTAGCATTTATGCAAATGAATATGGATGTGATAACCATCTCAGTAACTATATTGTTCCTCAAAGCAAACGAACTACATATTTTATGAAGTGGTATATAGTATGTTTGGTGGTGTTATGGTAAGAAATGGAAGAATTTTTGTATCTGTATTATATCACTACTTCCACAAATTTTCACTAAACTAATTGTGGTCTTCAGTACATCTTTTACATGTGCAAACTGATCCATTATTGGTTTTCCAAGATGAGTGTTGCATTCAAAAGATTATTGTAAGCTATTAACCATTGTAGTGGAGATATTTAGAATCTCGTGACTATCTTACTGAATCGACCATATAAGTTTCACATTTTTAGTATAATAAAATGACAAACAAGTAATTATTTTCGCCTAGAAATGTAGTTATATTATGATTTCCAAGTAATCACCAGTGGACAATGTAAAGCTACTACAAGGTTGAACATATTTTAGGAAAAAGTACTTAACTTTTGGATAACAATGTCACACCTTGTAAATGATATTTAAATGCATTTTATTTTTCTTACTAGGGGGTTAAAATTAGAGTAATGATTAAGGAAAATCATTTCTCAAGATAAATATTATCTCATCCTAAAAATAGTTTAAGTTAAAGAAAAGAATTTCAGTTCACACTAAAATAAAAGAAACTAATAATAGACGACAACACAACTTACCAACAGTATTTAACGTAGCATCTGTTTTAGTGTATACAGCTGTGAATAAATTACTAATCAATACAAGAAGTCGTAGTTGACATTTTCGTTTATACTTCAAATAGCTTATCTCATTTTTCAATCTTTTAGCAGCATGTACATTCAACTCATAAATATCAGGCATTTTAAGGAAATCAAAGGTTTCTGTAGATTTTTGTAGGTTTTCTCTCGTATACTCTTCATCTTTAATTGATTGGGTATCATTATAATCTGTTTTGTTGTTGCAACTCTTGACCGGTGCAATAACACTTTTACTACTAGATTCATGACTTAATGGATGATTTTGAAGTGATTTGGTTGTTTGTTCAGGATAGCATTCAGTGTGATTTTTCAATGAGTTTGTAGATTTTTGTTTGAGAATCGTCATTTCTTTGTAGTCATTATATGGTGTAAGATGCGATTTTTTGTAATTACTGATATTATTTCGTGTACAGTCTGACATTGTTAATTGGCTATATCTTGAATACCGCTTCTGACGTACAATTATTGGATCATATGGCTGAAAGGTGAAATAAAGAGCAAGAAAAATCGATTGAATACGTGTTACAAACTTACTTGATTTAGAATACTTCAAATATTTGAGAAGGGAACATGAAATTAATACTGAACTCTATATAATATAACTTCTATTCTGAATTAATCTCGCAATAAACAGAGTTAATATATATGCGTTTGGCGCTTAAATGACATACTTCAAGTCTAAAAGTAAATAAACAGTATTAACTCTACAAAGAACCACAAGATAAGCGGAAACATTCACTTTGGAATCAGAAACGTTTGTTTTTCTGTCATAACTATAGCTATTCATGAACTAAAACCTAATCTGTGTGTAAAAAAGAAGTATGTACAGTCACTTTTTTTTATCATAGCCATAACATTTTCCCAGCTTCATTAGTTTTCCCTCCCCCTTTGTTAATTTAACCTTTGTATCCTTCCTTTATCACTATTATTGTTATCATAATTGCCTTCACTTTGATTAGTTTCCAGTGTTATTTCACTTAATTGTCTTAATGTTTTAAGAAGACGTCGATTTCATCTTCACCAACCTATCTCATCTTATTACATTATATTTAACTGATTTCATACTCTCATCAATTTTTTCACCCCCTTTTGAGTTAAATACCCTTTATGAACAATTCCGTATGTTGTGTAATCTACGTTGTTATAATTCATACTTCATTTGTTTCATAATCACAAATGCCTATGTCATGATCATCATATAGTGGTTTAGTTTTCCTCATGGGATATAGTTTTTCAAATATTATATATATATATATATATATATATATATATATATATATATATATATGACTTTACAGCTTTCAAATAAATTCGTTGAAAAGAGTCTCTTTGCTGAATATCTTGTTCTTTTCTGTTCTAAAACAGAATTGATACTGATAGTGCTACCTATCAAAGTGAATGATTTCCTGTATAAGTCAAACAGATCAAAAGTGAACGCATTTGTACAGAATATAGTTATAAACTGATCTGTACAAAGTAAGAAGAATATACCTAAAATGTGTTTTTTGTATATATTTCATGGATAACGGTCATTTAAAAGACTATAAATCATTCTATGTGGATTCATTGTGTAAAATTCCTTCATATATCTCATTTGCTCAAGTTCACAAAACCTAACAAGGAATACTCCTTTAAATATATTTTCAGGTATTATGAGATTCTTGTACATTTTGCTCCTACCTTTTAGAAATTAAATCTCTTAATTAATTTTTCGTGACTATAGTTTTACGATTTTTATACCCTTCCCTTCTAGAAAGTTGGTTCATTTAAATTCCTGTATTACACTTAGCATGGTTGATTCATTAGCGCATTAGTTGATTCTACTTTAATTATAAAAGTAACAAAGTCATAAAAAAAAGTTGTGCTTAATTAATCAGTTAATAGCAATCACATGTAATTACTTGCAAAACAAATTCACTTTAGTAATTTAATTACCAGTTGGTGAAAGTTACTTTTACTCTCAAATATAGATTTCTATACAAGGATTAAAAGCTTCTGACTGTTTAAGATTTTTCAAAGCTGAATCACTTTCTAAACATTCATCTCTAGTTTGACTCAAAAGACAACAAAACCATTTAGATAATGTTTGGAAAATATGACTGCTCAATTTGGAGGTTTGTGGGGACTTACTGAAATCATGTTACAAGAATGCAATACGTTAATATTTCATATTGTTATTCATCGTACACTGATATCAGTTGAAGGAACCAAGAAAACCTGGAAGTGCTGGACAGCTGTTTTGTCCCAGTATGGGACTCCTCAGCAGTGCGCACCCACGACCGCACCAGGGATCTACGATGAATAACAACTTGAAATATCCCCAAATCCCTACAACTCCCTCAGAATTCAATTGAACTGGTGCTCATTGGTGACTAGCTTCGAGAGGTATTCCTGAAGTTCCAATGAGAAGTCGTGACCAGTGTGGGCAAAGCCTGATGGTCGTGAGGACAGTTACTCAAGGATGTAATTGGGTGGTGGTTGCGCCATATCTTGAGCTGACAGAAGTTGGAAATGTGGACCACTGGATTCTGACCCAGTGGCTCAATAGTAAAGCGCTGGCGATGGAACCTGAAGGTTGTGGGTTCGGTCCCTGGCGAGGGCGTGGCTGCGCACTTCTGAGGAGTCCCATACTAGGACGAAACATGTGTCCAATGCTCCCAGGTTTCCTTTGTTCCTCCAACTGATTTCAGCCCACGATGAATAGAAACTTGGAATATTTTCAAATCCCCACAACTCTCTCAAAATACGTTAACACCGCTTTGAACTATTTGATCGCTTTTAAAAGCACATATCAGCAAAAAAACGTAGAAATCATGCTTTTTATTCGAAATAGTTTGCAAACGATGGCGATTGAAATGTACACCTACTTAGTGCAAACAAATCTATTGAGCATCTCTTTCAACTTTGTTTTATACTACTTCGGTTAGTCCAATAGTAAACCCTAAGTATCTTAGTCAAAGTGCCTGCTATGCTTATGTTAAACATAACCTGTATATAAATACTTATTCTTTTCGAGAAATATTTTTTGCACTTCTTTCATCACTTGACTGACTCTACATTATATAATATGAATTTAAGTGAAAGTTTGGAAAATGAGGATAGTAAAAACTAGTTTCTTTTTATTCGACTCTAAGAGTAAGTTAAAGCGGAAGTATACTAATTTGGTGGCATTAATAGTAACATTCAATTAATGCGGCAATAAGAATACTTTAAATTGATTACTGTGAAAAAAAACAAAATGAAATAATGAAAATATAACCTGTAGTGAACTATTCGTTTTTACACCAAAACGTTTAGAAATGTTCAATGAAATTTACAACCACTGGATGTTATTTTACAAATCGTTTTTTCTTGATTCACAATGTCAGCTTTTACTTTACTCTAATGTAATAAAAGGAAAATAACGCAATTATTTCAATAAATTAAGGTGTTGCAATCATCTCGGTGACTATTAGGAGAATTCACATCACGAGTTTCGTCTGGTTTGCGAGTCGTTAGATGGGTGTGACTGGATCCTAGTGAGTGATGTTGCCCCCATTGGGACTCGAACCAAGTACCCATCGCTTCAAACGCTGAAGAGTTATCCGATAAACCACTAGAGCATGAAAGGTATATCTTGTGTAAAGGGTATAAGTTATTTTTCGATGCTCGTAACTCTGCTTTGCTACACTGGGTCAAATTGCTGAAGCTCTATTAGCTAATGGGCTCTTATGCGGGTGCCTTGACACTGTTCGAATATCCATTATATTTTATATAACTTGCTGACTTGCAGTGAAATCGAAGACGCACATCTCGTCTTATTTAAGACCAATCAGCTGGATGTACCTGCAAACATGTCAGCGATTTCGTTTCCACTGAGACAGGAATTCTGTACATCAACGAGAAGTTGTGAGTTCCAAACAACGAGATGGCTCTCGTACCTTATTAGCCTATTTGATAACGTTTCGGCGTTTGAAGCGATGGGTTAGAGGCTGGGTGAGAACAACATCACTCATTGCGGTGAAGGTACGTCCAGCCGACGAGTCTCTAATAGGAAGAAACGCGTGTCCTACATTCCACTGCTAACCGCAAGCAGATTACAACGAAACAACTAATCAGGTAGAATCGAGGAATTTGCATAAGAGCCCATCTTCCAATAGAGGTCAGGCAGTTCTACTCAGTATATTAACGGGATGTTTGCAGATATCTAACAAAAATAAAGAAGGATTTGTTTCCCTGGTATATTCGGCTTATGACTACAATGTAGATAACAAAATACATTAGCTTCATCATAGAATTGTTATACGACCACATTATTTTACCAAAATGTACTCTTCAAGCAAATGTGAGCTGTTTCATCGACATTTATTATGAGGAGAGAAGCAAAATTTACTTGAGACCACACTTTACATAATGTCTCAGTCACATACAGATTAAAATATTACCAAATACATTAATAAATACTTATAATTCTAACGGTCAACTTCAATATCTTCGGCATATCACTAAGTGATGTAAGCACTTTCATCACACAAAGAGTTTGTCCAGCTGAAATGATACAGGTGAGCTTGAAAACACTTTCAAACATGAGTTACTTCATGGAGGGAAAATGAAAATGAGCCAGTAGTATGCGTTAAGACTCTCTATTATTTCTTATTAGAATTTACTTTTATTTTCTGGTTACTTATATGTGTTCTTGTAAGATATGTCGACAGTCAACAAGCTAAATCTTCAAGAACATTAGAATACAGTCATCGCGTTATCAAAATGAATTACAAAATGAACAAGTTAAGTTGTATCAGGTTACGGAAATAATAGACGCTCCATTGACTTAGACGTAAGAAAGTAAGTGTTAGGATGTCTACAAGGAAGTCTAAGTTCTATAAGATTGATACTGGGTGATAATTGAAGGTGAGATGAAAATTCGGACCAACGGCCCGGGGGTCCACTGATTCCAACCCCGTCGTGGTCCAAATTTTCATTTCACCTTCAACCATCATCCGGTATGGATACTAGTCTGCCAAACCAGGGCTATCACAGATAGTCAAACAGATATTCTATACGATTGGAAATGATATCACTTCCTATAATAACTGCAATTTAGACGTTAGTCGTTCCCCTCTAAGTCACTCAAAATCTTTGTTATGGCAGAATTCACGAAAATCTGTTATTCTGATATTCGCATACATCACAACAGTATAAAGCTTAGCATAAGCGTCTAAACAACTTGGTTAGGGATAGACGCAGAACTTTTCTTGGAGAGTATTAAATGGTGTTAGAAAAAGAATACACATCTCACGACTTGTAAAACTAGATAAGATTGTTTTCCGCTCGGATAAAAAAATTCTTGTTACAAAACAGTTTTATACCCTGTAGAATTGCGACGTATCACATATTCGAACCAAACGCTCTTAATAATTTATCAATAACTATATCACATATGTACATGCCCACTGTTTCTAAACAACGCGTTCTTGTGTATACAGGTAATTGATTTGT